CAATTTTTTTCCAACCTTACTATTACTATTATCATCATATATGTTGCTCAAGATGACTCAATATGTATTGTAATGAGGCTCTACACGAATGAGGGGGGCGGTATTTCCTGATTTCCGTATTTCTACATGTGTCGTGTTTTTGGGATTTATATATAAAATGTTTTTAGAGTTTTGTATATTCACTCATACATTTTAATGGGGAAAAAAAATTAGGAAAAATTATTTTTAACTACACCAAATATTGGCAAACCAACCCAATATATAAATGTGTTCTAAATTACACAAACTATTATATAATATATGGTGACATACACCAAGTATATGCAAACATGTTAAAAACTACAAATTGGTGTTTTTTGATAAATATTTATTAATTTGAGGGTCACTTTGTAATTATTTTCATAAAAACACAGTTTTGTATGAAAATCCAAAAAACTAAGAACATACAAAACTTAACAAATCGAAAGAAAATCCATAAAATTTTGAAAAGATAAGGAAAAATATATTAAATTTTAGAAGAAAATTAAATTATAATCAATTTTAATTTTATATAAAATATAAATTTGTAAAATCCCAAAAATTTTAAAATTACAAAAATGTATTAATATCTAAAAGGTAATTGAAAATGTAATGTATATAGAGTTCCAAAATTATATATTTTGAAACCATTGAATTTGTTAGACAAAAATAAACACAAGTTTTTAAAATGTTGGTGAAAAAATATAATTTAAATTATATTGAATAAATTTCAATATTTTAGAATAAAAATACATAAACGACATATATATTACACTTTTTCTTCGGAGAATATTTTTACTTGTGCCTTCGGTACTATCCCAACATTAACTAGTGAATTTTAAATTTAATTTAATTTTGAATGATTAAAAAACAGTAATTTATAGTTTTTAACATGTTTACACATACTTGGTGTATGTCACTAGGGACGGTTTTAAAGGTGTGCGAGGTGTGGAGGGCCAAAAAAAAATAATTAGATGTTTTTCTTTATAAATAAGGGCCCGATTTTTCTTAATTTTTTTTTAAGAGAAGTGACTGCTACTGTAAAATTTAGAAGAACCATAAATTTTAGATTTTACAAGAAGAAGAAGATGAGCACGTGAACACTTTAAGTCACATGAGTTTTATGATACAATTTATGCGCCTTGATATTCTAATTAGTTAGTATGAAAAGGCCAACTCTTATCTATAGCACATGTCCAGAATATGGAATATGTATGAGCCGTCCATGTCACCATGTATTACATAATAGTTTGTGTAGTTTAGAACACATTTCTATTCTTGAGATGGTTTGCAACAAATTAGTCAATACTTCGTGTAGTTCATAATGATTTTTCCAAAAAATTTTAGAGAAAAGGTGTTCACCTCAACTGCTAATTTCTCTCTTTCTTTTAACCTCAAATTCACTTGCGATTTCACAACATTAGATTTCACAACATTATCATTTTTGCTAGAATAATAGTAGACAAGAGAATAATCCATCGAATTTTGTTATGGTGACTAGATGCAACTAAAATGAATGGAGTGGTTGGAAAATGTACCAAAGCATGCTCTACCTTCTGCACCAATGGCTCTAAAACTGCGCGTGCACTTGAAACTGCCTAAACAAGCATATCCACGATCTAAGTGTTGTTTTCCTGTTTTCAATAATTGTCGTGTGTATATGTGACAAGAAATACTAGACTCTCGTGCTAGTATGTGAATAAGTTGTGTTTGTTTTGTCTATGTGTGTGGTAGAAGGTTGTCCTTCCTTAGATGGTACACTTCTACTTTTTATGATCTAAATAAAGGATAATGTGTCCTCCTTCTCGAGTAGTATTTAAAATAGACTTTTGCTTTTAACGTAGCATGACAATCTATGCGACGTAGCATTTAACACTATTAAGACCGACAAATCCCAAACTGATTTACGAAAATCTCAAGCATGCATATATATACTAATAATATCATATGAAAACCAAAACAATATGATACAGAAACTAGAGGAATGTATAAATCAACATGATCTCTC